GTCTTGAAGGATTACATTGAAAAGCTTAGCAAGTAATGACAAGTAGGAGGACATCGAAAAACAATATCTAATCAGATTAGTTGCTATCATTAAGCTATTTGGCACATATTCAAATTAGACTGTTGAGAGCTGCTACGTATCACTAAATTATAGAATAATCCTGAGCAAATCACTATTAATTGTCTTTTCTGGGATCATCCATTAAATTGTATAATAAGAATGTCATAAGACGTATAGATCTGGTATTGTGATTAGCACTAGGCCAAAGCATCGGATGATAAACTTTGGTAAGAGTGTACCGTTGTTGCTGAGCTCGTATAATTTGACAAATAATCTTACGCTGAATCGTTTTTTTGTTACTTTGTAAAACATTAAAATAAGATTAGCGGGATTCGATGTGTTTGTAAGAACTTTCGAAAATCTTATAATCCGATTTCATCTGATCTTAGAAAGATATGCCTCTAATTATTTAACGGTCGTAATTTAATCGATTTAGTCCTATAACTCTTGGCCAGTTCAGTCTTCTATTCAGAAAAACAACTAGTAGCGCTACTATTAAGGCAGCTGTATGTCACGACTTTGCTGTTTGTGTTTTTGTTCTAATAAGAACATTTCAAGAACAATGATGCATAATAATTTGGAATCAAATCAATCAATAGAAGGATCTGCTTTGCTAAGCTTGATTAAGTATTCATTTATATAAGCTCAATTAACAAGGGGGACAGGCGGATTTGAGATTTTGGGATTTTCAAAATCCAAAAATCCAAAACGTTAATGATGGAATTTCCATCTGAATTTTTTCCCATATGTAAGTCTCATGATCCTTAGAATATTCTAAAATTTTCAGCGCAAACAGACGTTTCCTTCTCAAGATAATGAATGCGCAAGAAATACTCATTGCACGGCACGGTCAGAAAATCCAGTTTTTGTTTTTGAAAATTCAATATTTTAAGAAGAAAACATTTGTTCGAGTTGAAACTTTTAGGATCTTTTATGGGCCATGAAACCGATATATGGGAAGAATTTCAGGTCAAAACTACGTCATTCACAGAGGGGGAAATGCTTTTCAATTTATGGGATTTTGAAAATCTCAAAAATTCGCTTTTTCCCCTTGTCAATTAAACTCTTTAATGTCTATCTTAACTTTTCTTTCTTTTTGATTGTATTCAGCAGTGTCTTTGTTTTATTACATTTGTTTTCAGAAGAACAGTGAGTTTAAAATAGTGACACTTTTCATCAATCATCGATAATTCCATGCGTAAAAAAACAAAAAACAAAACTTTTGTTTTTCCATACTACTATTTCATCTCTCTATCAAGAGAAAAAAACATATCGAAGTCTAGTACCTGTCTTTCTTGAAATGCAATTTGATCGATACCATCATTATCTTTTATCGTCGATATAACTGTTAACTGTGCAGTACAAAAGCGCGATGGATTAAATATTGACGGTTTCTTATTTCCTTCGCGTTGACCGATAGACTTTGGATTTGTTCGCCACGTTTTCCACCGTAATAATTTCATGGCATATAGATACATTAAAAGATACAAATAAGATCATAAAGCACAGTCATTTTCCTCTAGTCATCATTGTCCGTTTTGTTTAATTCTTTCCCAGACGTTTCTACACTCCCTGATTTATATTTTTTTCTCTCGTGTACATTCACTTCAGTAATTGATCATTCAGACAATATAATTTTTTTTCTTTCGATATACTTGATCATAGAGAAAAATCGATGTAGCCTAAATATCAGATAGAACATCCAAATATATACGATATGTCAATACAATTAATCAAGACAATCATGAGCGTAGGAGTTGTTATTATTCTAGAATTATTGTTTTCAATCTTAGTATAATAATAAGTGAATGCAATTAATTGCAAAGCGTATAATGTCATTATCGGTACTGTTTGATATCAAAGAAATCGAGAACATTTCATGTTTTCACTAAGATTATGATTATTATCAAAGTGTATATAGATCGATAAATATGTTCATCTATTCAATATCGATGGGCGAGAGCAAGTGTGACTTTGCGCAAGTTAGTTAAAATAGAGATTTTACGTCAATTATTTAAAATTCTTTCTGCATAATTTGGTTAAATATTTAAGCATTACTTACTCTATTAACAAATGGTAGTATTCGCCATATAGTACTTCGAAGTGTTGGCTGCTGTACCAGCGGTGATACTGAGGAACGAGAACGTCGTCCAGTGGGCAACAGAGCATCGCCTTGATGAATTGTTGAAGGTCGTTGCTGGCTATGTGACTTTACTTTAATGCGAAGCAGATGCATATTGTGATGTTTTTCAAAGGAAACAATTGTTCAGGCACCACGATAAAAAAAGACTAAATATGCCTTTATAAACGACTAGAAGACATCCAAAAACAAAATAAAAGAGAGAAAGAGAGCGATGAAGAAGAACTGGGGAAAAGCGTTTGAGACAAACAAACTACAAAGTCATCAATAATCTATTTTTTGAATTATCTGTGCACCCATGCACACGTGCGATCAATCTTGATGACGACGTTGTTGGTTTGATTCAAGAGGAGTAAAGAACCGCATGAAAATCTTCAGCATTGATAAATATGAGGCATGACATGATAAAAATACTAAAAATATTCATGGTTTTATAGTTAATATGTAGAAGCACAGTTCTTTCTTCTTCTGTCTATCGAATAAAAAACTCTTTAGTATGAACTAACATGTGATAGCCTTTTTTCTTTCATCTAATACTTCTATAATATGCAAATTGAGGAAAGCATTATTAATAACGATGAAAGAGACTGCAAGCAAGCTAATGACAATTGTAATCCTTTATCCTCAGCATCAGTTGACAACATGTTTTCGCCTTGCTTAGCCAATATAAAAAACACTCGTGCTTATCAACACGATTTATCTTCATATAACTACGATCGTAAATTGCTACATGGCTTTATTTTCGCCATCGGATGTAAGTTCTTGATGGCATCATCAACTTTCCGACGAACTTTCATTATAAAATGTATACTTGCTGAATACAATAAAAAATAAAGTCAAAATATTTTCTTCATCTTCATGTGACATATTTCTTCATTCAATATAAATATAGATTATAAGAGACTGACCTGTGTTCTATTGTAAAGGTGCGTGAAATCAATTGCGTGAATAATACAATCAAATTGTTCGAAATGAGAAAACCGTGTTTGTTTGAAATATTTTGATATTTATCAGGTGTAACCATAGAACGTGATGAGTGCAAATTATTACTCAAGACTTTAATATGAAAAATACCGTTTGCGTTGGGTCTGAATATATATCAAAGTAGAACTATCTTTTACAACAATACTTAGTTGAAATAAAAGCACAATTGGTTGCGTTTACACTTTATGTTTTACATTTGGGAATATTTTATGATCCTATTATAACATTGATGATAATCATATTTTTTTGGTTTATTGGTACAATATAGTTTTCTGTGAAGCATAACATTTTTATGTTCTACGAAATATTTGTCTACCGGGAAACATATTTGTCATCACATGAAACACTTCAAAGATATCTACGAGAAATTTTATTGAAAAGATAAGAAATCTAATTTCTGGGTAATATTTTGAATTCCATTGGAAACTATTCTATGCAGGTATTTATTATGTCTGCAGTCATGTGATAGTTTGTCTAGAAATGTTATTAAAATTGCTTTGAAATGGAATATATAATTTTCTATTTTTTAATACAATAAAGATGAACATCGGTAATGTTTCAATAAGACAAAAAAAGAAAGACCTGATATAACACGTTCATAATGTTCATATCTTAAATTTTCCATTATTAGACTCTCTAAGAAATATAATTATTTACAACAGCGAATATTTCAATTCAAATTCGAAGAAGTTTATTTGGTGGTGAAGTACGAGGTCTGCTCTTTTAATATTTATTTATCTTCAATATGCCGACTATTATTAATTCTCAATTATTCTCTTTGCAATTATTTTACGTTTGAATAGCCTTTAATCGCTGCATATTATTAAGTAATTATCATGTCAGATATATCAAGAGTCCGAACGTTTATTTGATTAATTTGCAATAATGGACTTCTTCTAAAGTCGAACTCCATTTTTATTAATAAAAATCATACAAGGAATTCTCAAAATATGTAATATAAATATCATTTTAATACTTGAAAAGTCAATCGGGTACGTATAAAAAGGATGATGGACTTGCCAATTACAGAATCTAATTTTTATGTTGTTGACAACATGTTGATAAATCTTTTCTTAGCATTGATGAGCCATGTCAATCCATCAAAAGTAAGAGGAAACATTTTTTTTATCATTAGTAACGAGAAGATTTTTAACAAAGAATCTTTATAATATTGAATCATTCAATATTTTATGTATATCATTTATGAATAGTGTCGTCGAAAGCTGCTGATATCAGATTTGGATTAGTTATTGTTTCATCAACGAAAACAAACGTGGTTCATCATAGACATATGGTTTACTAATGATCTAAGAAGATAATATACTCCAGTCAAGTCATCATCTGTCTTTTTCATATTACATCATCTCGTTTCTGACATTCTTCTGCTTTGTGTATAGGAGAGAATCTAACGACACATCAGGATTACATATCGCCAATTTGTGGGTATGATAGAAGCGGGGTCGATATACGTATATATATGTTCGTTTAAGCTCATGAAATGTCTACTGTGACTGACATAATCTTTGTAATTATTCTTTTTTTTCCTATTTTATGTGTTAAAGATATATGTATATATGCCAACAAAGGAAACTTATGGTTATGTGTTCACTAATAGTGGACAAGCCATTATGCTTCTTTTTCTTTCTTTCTCACAGTCTCTCTCTCTCTCTTTCTCTTTTCCTCTTCTTCTAGACTATTTATACATCAGTAATATGACATCGCGTTGTCTATGTTTGTTCAACAGTACGAGTGAACCATACATAAAGAAGGTCTTCATCGTATCAGCGTTATTTATATCATTATTCTCCACACAAACATGACAATTTACACATCACGGTTGGTCGTTATTCCTAACTATGGTAATCGTCTACGATTAAATTCATCATCGAATTCATCGTACAGTTTTCAACATGAACGATTTCGTTCAACTCTTATCGTACTACCGAATTCAAATAGAAAACGATTTATAGAAGGTATTGAAGTTCAATGTGGAAGTTTTATTAATGATCAAAACTATCAAAATAATAATAATAACAATAATAGTAATCATAATCGTTTGGAATCGGTATCGTCTGTAGGCTCAACAAGTGATGTATTTAGTGCTGATGAATCCATATGTGAATATCATCCAATAAAAAACCCTCGCATAGTTGGTCAATCGTATTTCGATGTTCGACATCGTCTCTTGGCTAAATCAAATTTATTCGCATATACTTTAAAAGATGATACGGATATTGATGATAATGATAGTTTCTGTTGTTCATCTACAGGATATTCGTATCACCTTGGAAACTATCATCAGACGAAATAATATTTACAAGCATCATCTTGAACATTTATATTGAGTTTATCATCTCAGGTAAATTCAAATATGCTATCAACATTTTTTTCATCTATTTACAGCAATCTTCGACGATGCAATTGAGTGAAACTCTTGATAGTAATAGATTTTCTTATGTTTGATTTCTTTCATTGAATAAACATGTGCGTGCAAATACGTGGCTATGATTTGATGTTGACGAATGATGAATTCTCTTAGTTTCCTCAAATAACGGCGAAACAAACAATATAATTCTATTTGTAATAAAAATTCATCAATTGTTTGCTTTTAAATTTTATCAAGAAAAGCTTACGTTTCAAGGGCATTTTATTATTCACACTTATTATTCACCAATAGTATAAGAAATATTTTTATATTTTAAAAAATGACATGAAAATTTTCTCTTTAGAAACAGAAGAATAAATAATATTTCTATTTTTTTCTTCTTTTAATATTTTCAAGCGTGATTTCCATAATTGCCATTAAAATACTAATGGCAATGAAATGAACTGTCTTATTCATTATTCAACAGACGAATTAGTGTGGTATCCTTCTTTATTTTATTAACTTCAGAAAAAAAGACATTCGCTAAGTTTTCAGTTTGTCAGCACTGAAGAACACAACAGATGGATGAAAAACAAAACAAAATAAAATGTCAATGTATTTTGTTGTTTTAAACGTTTGGAGCAAGCATGTTACGAATATGTGGATCATTTTTGCATCTAATAGAAAAATAACAATAGTTGGCGCAAAATACAATGCAAATACATGAAAACTATACCCTGCAATGAATTCAGCTTTGCTCAATTTCTTGTCACCACTGGCATCGACCTTTTTGATGATTTCTGCAGCACGATGTTTTGGATCGTTATCGCCTTTACGATCGGTTGTGCCAGTAAGGTCATACTAAAAAAATGAGGAAGAAAGTTTTATTCCTTTGAATAGAAGCAAAATTTTACTATAGCCGAAATTAATTTTGTTAGCTCCTTTAAATCAACTTGTCCATCGCCAGAAATATCATACCTAGATACGAACAAAAGGGCCTATTAGGTAAATCAAAGATATTTTGAGAAACTGACATATCGAAAGCAACAGAAAGACGGTCATCAATATCACCGTGACTTGTAGCTGAAATGGCTAAAAGAAACTCGTCGAAATCGATTGAGCCATCGCCATTGGCATCAAATGTGTCAAAAGCATATCTAAAAAATATAGAATTTCATGCTTGAATAAAATTTACTTGATAGAGTTATACTTGCAAAAATTGTCGGCTTTGCCAGTTGGATAAAATTGTTTGTAAACTGCAGTAAATTGCTTCTTGTCAAGTTTACCATTAGGACAATCACGCAAAAATCCCTAATATCATAGTTAAGGAATAAAAAAATAAGGCATTTACTATGAATTTTGCTAACCTCATGCCAATCTCGTATTTCTATAGATCACAAAGCAAATTAGAAACGGATTAACAAAAAAAGATGACAACAACGAAAGTTACCTTGCTCGGAATATTTGGTATTTGTTTTGAGTAAAGTAATACCTGAGATTGATGAAAGCAGAAAAATGAAACTTTCAAATAAAGCAGTTAAAATTACTAACGCTGCGGAGTTAATTCTGTCGGTCCAGCCGTTGATTTTTTGCCGTGTTCATTACCCATGTTTATTGAAGATTCTTAGTGAATAGCGATAGAAAATAAAAATCTGAAAAAATGCCAGTGCTTTAAATATTCTCCAAGAATTTATGCACGTCGACAGGCATGTTCATGGTATTTATAGAAAGAAGGTAAAAAAAAAAAATAAATCACAGCCGAGCTAGAGTAAACATGCGATATATTTCAAGTGCTTATGTTGCTGCGCAACATTCACATGATGAATCGCCTAATGAATGTGCCGACTAGTAGGTTTTTGGTTTACAGGTGTAGGATCGCACAATAAAATCAAAAAATCTAATCATGTCAGCATAAAAAAAAAACATCTAGGGAAAGAAATGAAAGTCTGAAAAAAAATAACGTTCGTTTTCTTCTTATATTGTGGCCTTGAGAAGCACTATGAAAGAAAATTATTTTATTTTCACTTCTTACTACCTCCAGGTATTTTTTCTACTAGCATTTCTTGAACAAATAATACATCAATTTGCAATATTCCACTTCACAAATTGATAGCGAAAGTTTTTTTTATAATGAAAGTAACAATTTGCTTTATTTTTAGTCTAAGCTTAAAAAGCATCCGCCACGTCGTGCTGCTTGAAACATTCTTTGTTTACAATAAGGTAGATGCAATATTGCACGTGAATGAATCTTTCAGAAAAATTGATCAAATATCTCAGAACACAAATCAATCATCCTATTGGTGAAGACACGTATCCAAAACAGTCATTCTATTTATGGACTAGCTGAAGATAGAAAAGAAACGCCAAGCAGAATATCTAATATCAGTAAGCTATATCAGATATAGATTACTATCAATTTTTCTCTTGTGGCTATGTGCAGAATGACGTCTGTGATTAGAATAATTTATGTTTTTGATATTGTTCTATTGATGAATCATGCTGACATCGGTACTGACAGAATATTCTTAGGTTATGTGCTACTTCATATATAAAACATTTTGAGGTCGAGCTATTGAAAGACGATAGAAAAAAATTATTATTGAAAATAAAATTTTGTGAACAGATAAATTCTGTCATTTTGAAACTATTATTAAGTACGCTTAATGTTTTCAAGGATGCACTAAAAAAAAGAATAATAAAATAACTTCGATTTATGTCGCACGCAACGTAGTTTTCTTTTATAGTTTAAGTTATACTTATTTAAAAGATCTATTATGATCACAACCATTATAAAAAAAACTCATTGTATGAATATAGACAGGATTTTTTTGAATAGAAATTGGTTTCATTAATATGAATTTGGCTAAATGAGTAATAATAGTTAGCCTTCATTTCTTCTGAATATCTAAATGATGATCAAAAATGCATAAGAAAATATCCAAAAATATATTTCGTTTTCTACATATTCCCATTGGATGTGTTAGAATTCTCTTGCTGAAATAAAAAATATACGCATTGAATAGGCTCTTACAGCAATGAAAATGTTTTCGATTCTTCCAGAAGTTTTATTTCTCAAGTAAAAATGAAGGTTAAAATGAATACATCAAGCTGATATGATGCTTGAAATATATAGTCAAGCTATTGTATTTCACATGTCTCTTACATAGCTATCATGATTATTAATAGATCTTGATCATAAGTAATGATTCAGCTGTCATGAAAATCATGACAACAATAAATTGCAATATCATACAAAGAGCGTTTATCATCGGTAGTATTGTTCGATTGTTGTTTGCCGATTCAACAGGCTATTGAATCTATAGAAGTGATTTAAGAGTATGTTTGAATTGTTTTTTCGACCTCTTCACTTAGATATTTCATGAGCGAAATTTGATTTTAAGTGATCTTAAAAATTGATTCAGATTATTTTTTTTAAAATAAATGGACCAAGTCTCTTTTTTATGACACTGATATCTATTGTATTGCACGTTGTTCTTTTTCATCTCTGTCTCAAACGTTTCTATTAAATTGATAGTTTTAATTGTTAATAAAAATTTTCTCTTGCTAAATTTATTTCATTTTTAAATATTATTTCTTCCGATCTGTTAGTATTCTATCTACTGTTTATTTGCTGATTAATAAGAAAATTAAGATGAATATTGTTTGTGTCCGACGATATATTCTGTGTTTAAACATTGGGAGCAAGTAATTTTCGAATGTGTGGATCATTTTTGCATCTAATTAAACATAAAACAACAGTATAACGAATAGAATGAAACTAAAATATACCCAGCAATGAAATCGGCTTTCGATATTTTTTTATCACCCTCAGCATCAATTTGTCCTATTATTTGTGCAGCACGTTTTTTTGGATCATTTTCACCTTTACGATCAGTTTCACCGACGAGATCATACTGAAAAGAAAAACAGACAATATTTTATTCCTAGATGAACAATCGAAAGTTTACCATAGCAGAAATCATTTTAGACAATTCACCATTATCAATGTTTCCATCATTCGAAATATCGTACCTTAATATATATCCTAAGTCATAATCAAAATAAAGATAGTTGAAAAACTTACATATCAAAAGCAACAGCAAGACGTTCATCGAGATCATGGCTATTTGTGGCTGAAATGGCTAAGAGAAATTCTTCAAAATTAATCGAACCATCGTGATTAGCATCGAATGTATCAAAAGCATATCTAGAAATGGAAAAGTTAATGAATCGTTTCGAATTAAAACAGTAATGTTATCTACTTGCAAAATGTTTCTGGTTTTCCAGTTGGATAGAATTGCTTGTAGACTTCAATAAATTTTTTCTTATCAAGTCGACCATTTGGACAATCACGAATGAAACCCTACAAAACGTAAGACATTTCACATGTAAATCAACATTCAGTTTCATTCAACGAACCGCATGCCACTCTCGAATTTCTGTATTATAGAAAAATAGACAAACATGAATGATTAAAATCAAGAGGGCAAAGAAGTTACAAGTATTTATCTATACCTTGGTCGCTATAATCAGTATTGGCTTTAAGTAAAGCGAATTCTAAAATGACAATTTAAAACAAAATTCGTTTCGGAATGTATAAGCAAATAAACAAACGTTTATCGGTGAGTTCAGTCGATGATGTCTTGGGTTGTTTGTTGCCCATGGTTGCTTTTATTTATCGAACGAATACTAAGCCCACACAGAAAAATCTAAAACAAAAATCGCAAGTGCAGCGTTTTGTGTGTACATGAAAAATGAATACGGTTACCGATTGATTCACGATAATATATACAAAGCGAAGAGAGAGGAAACGCGAAATCACCTTGAATACCTGTTATTATATGTATACAGTGAAAAAGTGAGAGACAAAAACAACAACAAAGAGAACTGAATTATACGGATGAGCAACCATGATATATTTTTAAGTAGCAATAAATCATCTCTTGAATATATCAGCTACTATTTTGATAAGCTCGTTTGATGATAAAATTTCATGCTTGGCTCTGATTAATCATTTGTCATACAGTAGTTTATCTGTTGAAATTTATTGTTTTTAAATCTTGCATATTCTATTCTGATATTTGACATTGTTCAATTCTCTGTTGTCAGTTTAATTTTATCGGGAGTAACATATTTGATCAATAGGAAACAGTGATTTTAAGAGCTAAACAAATAAGAGTAAAGAGAGAAAGAAAATGATTAAGTGGTTGTACCAAAATAGAGTATTTAGTCTTAACTGCTGGTGCGTAATATTTTTGTTTTCTCACCCATGGGAACTAGTTTATGCTGATGGTGTTAATTCGCAGTAAATGTATTCGTTCAAGTTTAGGAAAACTTAAATCGAAACGAATCGAAAAATGCATTTTTAAAAACTCCAATACGACCAACTAAATAGTCGTTCTAACAACCTGTTTCTTCTATGAGAAAGTATTTTTATATATTATGCATTTAACGATATCAATTTTTGGGCTTTAATGCTGTTTAAAATGTGAATTCTCATTCAATATTAAAGTTTCTTGTTTTTTCACTCTATTTTCTCCATTTACACAAATAAATTTATAGATAAATTACTTTCATACTGTTCAATTTGCATCTCTCCCATCTTTGTTACTTGCTTACAACTCGATAATGACGAGGAAGTTAACGAAAACGAGCTTAGAATAAATCATACTTTTGATAGTAGTAAAAAGAATGATTCAATTCTTAGTTATCCAGGTTGATGACTACAGTTACCTTTAAATTTCTGGTCTTAGTTTTAAAATCAGACGAATTTTCACATCGAGATACCACACGTTACACTAATTAAATTTAAAATAATTATTAATATCAAACTAAACGAAACGAAGAGAATTAAATAATGGCAAAAATCTCCACCCTCTTTAAAACAAAAAAGAACCGCAATTCTATACTGTTTCTCATGCAGATCTTTTTATATAAAAACGAGTATCCAGATCAGTTAAAATTAATTAACACGACGATGTACTGCCGATAGTTTTATTTTGATAGAAAAACAAAAAACGTTTTCATGTTTTCTTTCTTGACTTCTCGAGTATTTCTAGTTTTCTTTTATCGCACGAAATCTACACGCAATTTATTTTTAGTAAAAATTAAATGAACAGATTACAAAAAAAAAAGTTCAAATGTTTGGAGCAAGTAGTTTACGAATAACAGCATCGTTTTTACATCTAATAAAATGAAGAAAAGAAACAACGTGAAATGTGCATAATAACATTCTTATTAAAGAAACAAACCCTGCAATGAATTCAGCTTTGCTCAGTTTTTTGTCGCCGCTTATATCTAGTTTTGCTATAATATTCGCAGCGCGTTTCTTGGGGTCTCTATCACCAGTACGATCGGATTCACCGACAAGATCATACTGTACGAAGTAAAAGAAAAACAGAATTTCTTTGAGCTGCAGGATTCAATACAAAATGTACCATCGCTGTAAGTAATTTAGTGAGCTCCTTGAGATCAATTTGTCCATCATTGGATATGTCGAACCTAAATATCAATGAAACAGATAACAAAAATCGATTAATTTAACTCACATTTCAAAAGCAATGGTCAGACGATCATCAAGATCACCTTGACTGGTAGCTGTGATCGCTAGAAGAAACTCTGAAAAGTCTACCAAACCATCATGATTAGTATCAAATGTAGTAAAAGCATATCTATATATTAGACGTAACACATCGATTAACAGGTTAAATAACTATTTCAAATATACTCCTACTTGCAGTAATTGTCCGGTTTACCTCTTGGATAGAACTGTCGATAGATATCAACAAATTTTTTCTTATCAAGTTTACCATTTGGACAATCACGAATAAAACCCTATAAAATATAGGAAGTTCCAGATCTACATTAACATTCAGTTGCATTCAACTAACCGCATGCCACTGTCGAATTTCTATATTATAGAAAAATAGACAAAATCAACGATTAAAATCAAGAAGAAGAATAATTATCAATATATGTATATCTATACCTTCCTCACTATAGTTAGTATTGGATTTAAGTAAAGCAATTTCTAAAATTTCAATTAAGAGACAAAATTCGTTTCGGAATATATAAGCAAATAAACAAACGTTTATCGGTGAGCTCAGTCGATGATGTGTTGGGTTGTTTGTTACCCATGGTTGCTTTTATTTATCGAACGAATAATAAACAAATACAGAAAAATCTAAAACAAAAGGTGTATGTGTAACAGGTTGTTCATTTGATTGTTTATGTGTGCATACAAGATGAATAGTGCGTGTCGCTTGATTCATGATAATATTTATAAAGCAAAGAGAGAGAAAACACGAAATTACCTGCAATACCTGTTGTGATATGTATACTATGCAGAAATAGGAGAGACAAAAAATAGGGAAAAAATGATTTATACGGATGAGTAAACAGGATATGTTTTAGAGTATCGATAAATCACGCCTTGAATACAGCAGCTACTATTTTGGATAGGCTAGTTTGGTGATAAAATTTGATGCTCGATTTCGATTGATCGATTATTAAACAGCAAATTTGATAACATTCATCATAGAACTCAGAAGTAGTTTTGATACAGTTATTTCCGTGAAATATCATATAAAGTGTTCAAAAAACGAATACCAGAAATATATGAAAGGAATTTTCAAGCGTTCTAGATTCCATGATGATTCTTCTGTAAATTACCTCACTTTTTCTATGTTCAATCTATTTTTAGTAAGAACTAAATAAACAGAATACAAAATACTTCGATTTTTTTCTCAAATAACGACGCACTGTTTCAAAAACAAATGTTGAAATGTTGGAAGCAAGTAGTTTACGAATAACAGCATCGCTTTTACATCTAATAGAATGAAGAAAAAAAAGCAAGTTGAACTATGAACAACAGATCCGTATTAGAAGAACAAACCCCGCAATGAATTCAGCTATGCTCAGTTTTCTCATCACTTACATCAAGTTTTGCTAAAATATTAGCAGCACAGTTTTTTGAAGCTCGATCACCTGTACGATCAGTTACACCAACAAGATCATACCGTAGGAAAAAAAGAAAAACAAAATTTCTTTGAACTGCAGGATTCAATACAAAATGTACCATCGCTGTAAGTAATGTAGTGAGCTCCTTGAGATCAATTAATTCATCTTTGGAGATATCGTACCTGAATATCAATGAAACAGATAACAAAAATCGATTAATTTAACTCACATTTCAAAAGAAACGATCAGACGATCATCAAGATCACCTTGACTGGTAGCTGTCATCTCTAGAAGAAACTCTGAAAAGTCTACCAAACCATCATGATTAGTATCAAATATAGTAAAAGCATATCTAGATATTAGAAGTAACACATCGATTAATAGGTTAAATAACTATTTCAAATATATTCCTACTTGCAGTAATTGTCTGGTTCGTCACTTGGATAGAATTCTCTATAGATGTCAACGAACTTTTCCTTATCAAGTCGGCCACTTGAGCAATCATGGATGAAATCCTATAAAATATACGACGTTTCACGCCTACATTAGCATTCAGTTGCATTCAACTAACCGCATGCCACTGTCGAATTTCTATATTATAGAAAAATCAATAGTGTCAAACCTGAAACTTCAAGTTTCAAGTTTCAACTTTCAAGTTTGACGTTATTGCTCTGACACTACTGCTTCCCCGGCACCCACATTAAGGGTACATATGTGTGTGTAGACAAGCGAATCTCCCTTCCCCGGCACCCACACCCTTGAAACTTGAAACTTGAAGTTTCAGTTGAATTCAAGTTTCTCGTTCGACATGTATGAGAAAAATAGACAAAAAATGAATGATTAAAATCAAGAAGAAGAATTTTCAATATATGTATATCTATACCTTCCTCACTATACTTAGTATTGGATTTAAGTAAAGCAATTTCTAAAATGACAGTTAGAAAATATTTCTTAGGGAACGTATGAACGAGCAAACAGACGCCTATCGGCAAGTTCAGTCGATTGGTTTTTAGCTTGTTTGCAGCCCACGATTGATTTTATTTATCAAACGACAAACACATAAAATTCGAAACAAAAGTTTCAAGCCGTGCTTATTTTTATGGTTTATAAGTACGTACTAGACGAGTACTGTGGATCGATTGATTCATGACAAGATTTATAAAGCTGAGAGAAAGAAAAGACGAAATTAGCTTGAAACCTGGCTTTTATATGTGTAGTACGCAAAAATGCGTAAGACCAGAAACAAGAAAGAAAACTGATTCATATGGATGAGTAAATAGGATATGTTTTTGGAGTGGCGATAAATCATCTGTTGAATACAGCGGATGCTATTTTAATGGGCTCATTTGATGACAAAATTTCAAGTTTGATTTCGATTAATCCTTTGTGAAACAGCAAATTTAATAACATTCATCATAGAACTCAGAAGTAGTTTTGGTGCAATAGTTTCTTTGAAATATTATATATTCTATGATACTTCTATTGCAGAATTATTTAATCAACAAAACGGTATGTGGCGGATATTTTTATTTCGATAGATAAGCAAAACATGAGGTTGCATTTTTTTCTTTAACTCACCTATGCTATATTCAATCTATTTTTAGTTAGGATTACATAAACAAAAATACAATATTCTTCGAGTTTGTTGTCCAAGGATAATACGTCTTTATTTAAAAAGAAATGTCTAAACATTAGGAGCAAGTAATTTACGAATAACAGCATCGTTTTTACATCTAATGAAATGAAGAAAAAATCACAAACCCTGCAACGAATTCAGCTTTGCTCAATTTTTTGTCACCACACATATCAAGTTTTGCTATAATATTTGCAGTACGTGTTTTTGAATCTCGATCGCCTGTGCGATCGATTTCACCAACAAGATCATACTATATAAAAAGAAAAGAAGCACAATTTCTTTGAACATAAGGATTAAATTAAAATTATACCATCGCTGATAGTACTTTAGTCAATTCTTTTTTATCAATAAGTCCATCATTGGAGATATTAAATCTAGATATGAATGAAATAGATAAAATAATGACCCATTGATATGACTCACACATCAAAAGTAGCAGCAAGACGCTCATCAATATTGCCGCGACTTGAAGCTGAAATAGCTAAAAGAAATTCTTGAAAGTCTATTGAGCCATCGTGATTAATATCAAATGTACTAAATGCGTGTCTAGATATTAAGAGTTAGATATTGATTTAAAGGTTGAAGAATCATTTGAAATATATTCTTACTTGCTGTAATTATCTGCTTGACCGCGTGGATATAATTGTTGATAGAGTTCAACAAATTTTTCTTTATCAAGTCGGCCACCTGGACAATCTTTAAGAAAACCCTGATACAAAGAAGAATCAATGAATATGATTTTTTGAAAAGATAATAACACTTTTTCAAACATACCGTATATCACGTTCGGATTTCTGTACAACAAAAGAAGAAGAATATATTTTGAGAGTGCTGAGATATATTTACCGTTCTCACTAAATTGAGTATTTGCTTTGAGCAAAGCTACTTCTAGAAATTAAACAATTGGAACGCATCATATGATTAATGCATTGAAAAAAAATGAACCTTTGGGTGAAAGTTCAATTGATACAAGATGTGCAGACTGTGCGCTACCCATGATTGTAGATAATTATAAATAATTAAATAAACAAATTTTTTCTCTTTGTGCTGTGTTACTTGTGATTGTGTGCGCTTGAAGTGTTACACATGGCCATAAATATAATACTTGTTATACGGTGATCAGACAAGAGAGAAAGTAAGAAAGTTGGCCTATAAAGCTTAATAGAATATTCGGCATTCGTGCAAGTGACTCTAACAAAGAAAGCGGTGATTCAGTCAGTAAATGTGTAAATCATATGTTTTGATAGATGTAATGAATTCATTTAAATCGCCGAAGACTTGAATGAAAACTAGATAAAATAGGTATACGCATGTTTATTATGATTCTATAGCACTTCAATTTCTTTTTTTTTTCGGAAGTCTTTCTCCTTCTACGCAATAATACTGTATAAGAAAAAAATAATCGAAGAAAGAATATTTAATTGCTCAAGTTGTTTTCTTTGTAACCAATATTACTTTCAACTCTAGACGAAGAAAGTCGAACGCTGAATTCTCCCATTGCAAATCTTGATCTGCCCATGCATCGTAAGAGTTGGCAGCATTTATGAATACAACAGAATTTCTCATTGCTATTCCATATGCGAAATATTTATTCACAGATTTATTAATCGATAACTTTTATTTACGGACATATCATCAACGAGAGAGAATCACCGATGAACTAATGGAAGAGAAAAATCTAATAGAGCACTAACACAATTGTGAAAAATACAATTCAGTGATATTATATCGTCTATTTTAAATAGGTGAGATTCACAATGGAATGCATGCATTTTTAAGAAGAATGAAAAATAAAAGAAAGACACTTTTTAAAAACAAAACAACAACAACAACAACAGCAGCAGCAGCAACAAAATAAAAACTATCAAGGAACTATCACTTTCTTTATTTTCGATGAAAACAATGTTTCGTCTTCGTCGTCATCAGATTCACTTGACATAGGACGACCATTTCTTGTAGATTTTTTTCCATTGTTCCGTTGTATTCTTGGTAAATCATGTTCATCTTGTAGTAAAAGTTCATATCGTTGAAAACCAGTATCGCGACGTACTGTTGACCCTTGACAAAATCTTAAATATATCACAACAGTAGCAAATACAATTGCTAGGACTAAGGCTAAACAAACAAAAAAGAAAATTAATTCGCGATAACTATCGTCTAAGAGATACAAACCAGATATGCCAGCAATGATAAGAAAAAGTTGTTGGTGTAGTATAAAATCTTTAGAATGATGATATAAAGTTCGAACATTCGACGATGTTAAATTGACAAAGCTTGAAAAAACTCCCTTTGTTCTATTATAAACAGTTGACGTTACATTAGAATATGGTCCCTGTTTATCGTTGTCATCATAGAAATTTTTACGTTTCAATTTAAATTCAATATATGTTGATGATTGACTACCAACGAGTATACTTTGTTTTGTTTCAGATTGATACCTATGTGTTTTTAAAGAATTGAAGTCGACTGCTAAAATATTTTATTCACATACCCAATACGGTCAACTGTTATATCATAAATGCCAGGTGTTAATATACGGAAAAAGTCACCATCACGAGACGTGCTAACATTATGTTGAATACCGTGCACATGAATAATAACACCTGACAAAGGCATTTTTGTTTTTGAATCAAATACAAAACCACGAATTCCACGAGTGACCTAAAGTGAAAGAAACGAAAACAATATTTAATCTCTATTTGTAAAATGATATTCTAATCACTACTTGAGTTATATAGGCTAATAAAGCTCCTTTATTATCATCCCAATAAGATTTCAAATTTGCTTCATCCGGATATTTATCACAACCTAATTCGATTGTTATTTGCATATCAGATGTATACGTATATGACCAATCTTGCATGCCACCATCAATAACATACCATGAAGCTCCATTTGTAATTCCATCATAAAATCTAACACATGCATTACCTTTATGCATTTTTGGATGAGCCTTAAAAGAAAAATCGAATTCGTTGTTTAGAATAAGAAAACAGAAGAACAAGCGAAATGAAATAATTTACAAATGAATAAGTTTTAGCAAGCATTTTAAAGGTTTCATCATCGGGCGATTTGCTTTCTTTTCTAGCTACATCTTTAATTTGGCTATCAAATGGATAATTGGCAACGAGAGCACCACCATGTAAATTGGCAGATAGAACAAATGGATATATAAGTGACCAATGCATAACAGCACGCACTTCTGGTTCAAGATTGACTTGTGTTTTAGTTAATTCTTCTAGATAAGATTTACTGTTATATAACGCTTGCTTTGGTACACCAACTCCTTTGCCATTTTCATTCGTTGATGGTAACAATTCGACTTTAGGGAAATTTCGATTTAAATCAACTTTATGAGCATTGAGACGACCGAGTCCTTGTCCATGTTGACTTTGTTTATATTCATATTCAAAACCATCGGGATTCATTGTTGGCATTATATGAATACGAACCTTAAATTTAAAAAATAAGCGAATGAATTAATTGACGGATAAAAAATAAAAATGCTTACATTATTAACAAGTTGAGTGATATATTCGCTTTTTTCATAATTCATACATAAATATTCAATAAGAAGAATTAAACATTCTCGTCCCACACTTTCATCGCCATGCATATTTCCAATATATTTTACTTCTGGTTCTCCTGGCTCATGAATAAGTGGTTGATCACTAATAATAATAACCCACAGATCACGATTTTCAGTACTTTTGCCAATTGTATATAAACTTGTTATATTTGGATATTTCGCATTCAGATCTTTCAGCTTTTGAACCATTAAATCATAATTATGATATCGAAATTCAGTTGTTGGTTCAAGTAAACTTCTAAGAATAGTTTCACGTGTGTCATTCATTAATTTTTCAGCATAGGTTGATAACAAATTGTAAACATCATTCGTTGACGAAACATCTTTGCTACCTGCTGGTGTATCGTGTGTCGAACGTTGTAAATTAAAGTCAAGCCGAAGTGCCTAAATATAAATCAAATGATCTCTAAGAAATGATATGAGATGTATGATATGTTTCATCTATTTTTCTTCTTCTTCGTTTGCTAGCTAGGTTGTTTTTAGTAGAATTTCAAAATTTTTTATAACTGAAGTAAAAGTTAATAAAAAATTCATTGTATCGTTTGATGAGAATAAATTTTTTCTTTATAAAAGTAAAGCTCGAGAAGTAAAGTGCATAGCATCCAGAATTTGGGACGAAATCTAACAAGAAAGAGCGAATAGAATGAATAAGATTTTTATAATTTCAGTAATACAAAAGAATGCCGTTTATAATCAGCCACGACGATGAAATTACTCGACATATTACTTTACCTTGATGTTTCCTGTACAAGAATACAATAGATATTCTAAATATGACCTATAGATATATAGTTATGCCGAAGGTGTAAATTGTTTCTCTTATATGTATATATGAAAGCGTTTGATTGATACGTAATCGAATAGTAGACAAATATCTTACACTTGTCGAGTCGTTATTCGCCACATTGATATTGAATTTAGTTTGTGGTAAATATCCTGCAGCAGTTACTGTTACATTATGTAAACCAGGTAATAATAAGCGCCAATAAACACCATTTTTGACACTACGAACAGGATGAAGAACACCTTCAACTTGAATCAATGCACCTGAAATGCCTGTGTGTGTGTCAATATCACGAATAAAACCCTTAATACCCAAATGACTCTGAATAAAATGAAAATATCTTTCTTTTTTTGCACTCATTTGTAAATTTTATTTTACCAGTTCTATATAGGAAAGTAATGCTTCCTTATTGTTGTCCCATTCCTGTTGAAGAACACCATTTTCAGCCGATGGATATTTACAACAACTTAGTTCCAATGTAATTTCAAATGCATTACTCTGCAAATAATTAAAATCTTGCATGCCACCTGGTACATCGTACCATTGAGCACCATTCGTTATTCCTTCAGTAAATTCAGCTGCACATCCTTGACCTAATCGACAACGAAAAGCAACTTTTCATTGCATGAAACATTTTTTATTTTACTACCTTTATTCATCGTTAAATGTTTACTAGCATAGGTTCGTGCTAGATGTCGAAATAATGAATCATCTGGTGAAGCTGAATATGTATGATCAACATGATGAATGGTTTCATCAAACGGATATGAAGCAACAAGTGAGCCACCATGTAGATTAGCGCTGAGAACAAAATTTTCTTTTAATATCCATTTCATAAGAGCAATTGTTTCTGGTTGTCTTTCATAAAACAGATCGACACTTGTACCATTTATTAATTTTTGAAGTGGCGCAAATTGTGATGGAAAATCTCGATTAAGATCAACTTTCATTCCATTTCCTCGACCATTCATATTAGGACTCTCACATAAACCTGCGACAGCATTTTCGAAACCATCCTGTTTTGGAAAAATATATATTTAATGAAAAAGAAAAAGAAAAATCTGCATATTCTAATACAACATACCGGATTCATACTAGGCATTATATAAATATCTGTCGTAGATAATAGCCTATTAACGCGTGCATCTGATTTTGAATTTAATAATAAATAGTATATTAAAGCTATCATCATTTCACGACCAATGGTTTCATCACCATGCATATTTGCAACATATTTAAATTTTGGTTTTAATAACTGGTTTTCGTCTTGTTCATTCTCAATGTCCGTACCGAGTGGCGATGTAAGACGCATAACCAACAAATTTCGACCAGTAATACTTTTGCCTACATTGAATGCTTTAGCAATTTTTGAATAATCACTTTGCCATTTTTGTAAAAGACGATCCAGTTCACTGTAATGGTGATATTCCGTAAGTAATTCATAGACAGCTGTATCTTTTTCAATTTTTAATGGGGATGAACGTTGGCAGACAATGTTCGAGGAAAAGCTTAATATTATGACAAAAGAAAGACAATGCCAATTTATATACATGATGATGATTATCTAGAAACATATATTCTTGAGTGTAGTCAAACATTTATGTTTGACGAATATGGAAAAAACACGAAGAAAACAGCCGGTATGATTCTCATATTGCATCATGAAGAAAAAAGCTACGAGGTACCACGTTTCTTCCTTTTTCTTGAAATGACGAAGCTTTTTTTTCTTTATTCCTGTAGTTCCTAGTGAAACCCGACAAATTTAAACTCCGCCCACGATCAGTAAAGCGCAAATAGCAGTTTGCTTCGAAATAAAACGGCACGAAGTGCATAGTCTTATATGAAAAAGAACCTTACTCATCGTGTAGCATAAAGAATACATAAATATGCATATTTTGAAGAAACAGTATCTGTAACAGCTGAACATTCAAATTAACCACGAAGAAGAAAAAAGAGATTCATATAAAGTTATCACTTTTTTCAGAGCCATTTAATCCCAAGTTTTAAGACATATGCAACAAATAAAGCCGTGCCTTCAACGAAATGTTTGGACAGCATTCGTTGCGATTCACATTGGCACATGTATTCGCGTACTAGCTATATGGGCCAATAAGAAAAAAAATGTGTGCCTCTATGTAGTGTAAACGAAATGTATATTTTTATACATACCTTCAAAATCACATATGATGTTTCCTGTTTTACAGCAATAAAAAAAAAAGCTAAATTATCATCAGATAGTACGTGCGAGATCTAATTTTCAAGATTCGTTTATCTCGAACGATTTTTACTAGAAATGAATTTGTTGAATCATTGTTTTATCGGTTACATGAATATTAAACTCAGATGCTGCCAAGATTTATCTGGACAATTTCTATTAATAAAATATTATGCCTTTTACAACTACAGCGAAAGAGAGCGATAGTTCTAAATATGGTGCCTTCTTCTTCAAAAGCTTAACCTTGACCCTGACTTCTATTCTCGCTTTCAATTATATGCTTCCCTTCGGTCTACTTTTACTTATGTTTGATGATACCATGTATCTGATACAGTTAACAGAAAGAAATCTTCAACGATGCCTAGAAGCTACGAGAAAATTACGAATCATTCATTGGATGCACTTGAGAAAATGCCGAATTATATGATTTAGCGTTGACAAGATACAAAAAGTATAGAAGATTCTATCACAGCCAATTTTCGATACAACATTTTTAGTCGTAGGCAATGTTGAAGGACGCTTCTAATTGGCCAATACTGATGCTGTAGACAAACGTGTATTTTGTAACGTTGACTGCTTGATACTTCATGAAAGTGATGACATACGAGAAATTGCATTACTTTCAAGTATTGAAAATACAACAGTAAGAATAAAAATCGTAGGGTTTGAGTAAACTAAGTGATCCTCTTCATGTAATTATGCCCTTGAAAAATTGTATTGTTTTCAAATAGAAATATTCTTCGTTTAAACGTGCTTTTTATTCAAAAATCTTTATCGAAGCAACAACTAATAGTTCAAAGTTCACAGATGGAGAGAGAAAATTCTGTTTAATAAACGTAAATCGATTTTCGTGACACTTGGACTCTTGAAAGTATAACCATTTCGTCAAAAAGCTACGACAACTATTTCCGAGACGTTTAATTGAACATAGTGAAAATAATTCTAGGTGCGCTAAGCTGATGACTTGTGAAGTTTAATATAAAAATGAAGCGTAATGATAGGGAGAGAGTGTGTGTGTAGCATTGATTACAGCAGAATATCATTATATGCTAGTTCTTAGAAATAGCAATCATACGCTGTTTAATTAGCAACAAACTCACTTAATCTATCTTTTCAATTGATGATTTCATGCAGCATCAACTCATACAATGAAATCAAGTAGTCATACTGATATTTATTATTGTTGGCATCATTGAATATTTTAATTAACAATACTTTTTCTTTCGATTATATGCATATTATTTTCTTCTACAACATGCTATAAAGTTATACATCATCACTTTCTAGTGTTTTGGCTAACGCATAGTTATATCAAATTTGCTAGTAAACGTAAAATCAAAACTCCTATTGAATCATCGCCAACAAACACTCATGATGCTAATAATAAAATATTTGTTAATTTAGTTTCTTGTCATTCATTTTGAATTCCAATGTTATATTTGATCTACTTTCTGGACAAGCTCATTAGGGCAATCACGTAAATTTATCGCCAACGTAATCAATTTAGAGCATTTTCTTTTCGTGGGTAATCGAAATTTATTATCCAGCGATCACAGACTATTTTCACTGATAATTAATTGCAGATATAAAAAATACAATGTATTGGTGTTTCTCATTAACAATGATAGAATACTAATTTCTTTCTTTCGATTATCGAACGATTTTTCATGCTTTCTCTGTCCGTGAATGATTCATCCAATTGCGAGATTGCCATGGACACTAGCGCCAATCTTATTAGTTAAAATTCGTTGAATAAATTTCGTAAAAATTGAAAATTTTCTTTTAATATATAATCATTAAATTGAATATTTCAACGAGTGCAACATGATTAACCCGATTGGAGAATCGATGCCTGTTGAGAATGGCAGCATGATTAAGTAATATATATCGAAACTACTAATATAAAATAAAATAAATAAACAAAAATCACTTTGATTAAGCAATTTTCAATAGTTTTATCGATTTCGTTTTTCTTAGATAGTTTTCGTTCAATGTAATAATATGGGAAAGCATCGCCATAAGAAATCATTTTATGATGTTGATGAAGATGACTTATCGTCATCTCACAAGCATCATCGTCATCGCCATCGTCGTACTCATTCGCCAGATAAACAAGATGAAACAAAACAACGTGTACCATCTATATCATCGTTTCATAATAGTAAAATTGAGGACGATGAAGTTGCTTTATTATCACCACCAACAAAACGCCACCGATCATCATCATCAAATACTTCACAATCACCATCGAAAGTTTTATCACAACTTATTGAGGATCCAGAGTTTTTAGCAAATGCTGGCCCCAAAGCAAAAGAATTTGCTGAAACAGCTCGACAACTACTTGCTAAACCTGATTTAGATCCAACAACACAACAAATTATTTGTGCGATGGCTCAGGTTAGCTTTGAATTATAAGAACTCTTTTGATTCATGAGCTCTTACATTCCACGATGAGAGGCATAAACGAGTTGATACTATTTTTGTTCTTAGCTAATTAAACATATATGAACATGGCATGTTCTCTTTTTATACAACTAAATATCGATTGAAAAGAACTTTGTTTTTCTTTTAAAAACTTCAGCATTAATTTTCAATGACAAACTTTCTCGGCATTTCTACGAATGAAATACTAATACATGATGTCCTCTATTTGATAGGCAGCAGTTAATGCTGGCAAACGATTTAGTTCATCATCATCATCAACACCTGCTGATCAATGTGTCGATGAAATTAGTGTTACAAATAGTGGAAGTTATTCATCGTCGACACTCCTTTCTCCAACATTATCAAGTGCGAGTAATTCATCAACATCGAATACTCCTCAACAACAATTTCATCCGGTTACATCAAGTGAAGAAAATAAAACATCAGCCGAACCCGAAAGTGACGAAGATATTCTTATTAAACAAATGATTGAACGTGCAATGAAATTAACACAACAAGGCGATACTCGTCATGCACAACATTTACTTGGTATTATTCATGAAAAATTATCAAATAAACGAAAAAGAGCTGCTGCTGCCGCTGCCACGGCTTCATTGTCGAATGGTAATGATAATGAAAAACTCAAAATTTCATCTGCAAATGAATTTCATTCATTATCTAATGAAGATTCACACATTAGTAATCATCATAAAGTATCACCGGTCGGATTAGAACAGTCGGTACGTAGCAAAAAATTAATCAATATTTCTATTTTATTCTCAACCAATTTAGAACGATTATCCAAATACAACTTGTTTTTCATATCCACCTCCGCCTCCTCTTCCACCACCACCGCCGCCACCACCATCATCATTACCCGATATGAATTCAATCACGTCACCATCGGTTTCAGTACCACCTATGGAACAAGTTCAAGAACTTCTATCGAATCCATCTGAAGTGCAAGACATTCTAAAGAGATTATTTGGTGCTAATGACAATCAAAGAACAACTCCACCTGAAGAATATCAAATGCAATCTCATTTATCTGCAACATCATCTTATCACTCTCAATCTCTTCTAATGCCGTATAACAATTCTCTTATGTATCCATCACTATCATCTCGACTAAATAACAATAGTCAATCATTACGAGGACCACCAACAGCCGAAACTCAACCGTATAATTCCTCATTAGCCTTTATGCAAGGTAACCGTCGTAATTTACCACCATTACAAACAACTGATCGATGTTTTTCATCTTTAAATAATAAAATCAAACAACCTAATCGGCCATTTTCATTCCCAGCATCATCAAATAATGCTGGAGTGATGTCTGCACTTCCTAATGCTCCTCCACCGATATCATGTGCTCCACCGCTCATGAAAGTTAATCCAACATTTTCGTTTGGCCCCTCGACACCAACCCCAGCGGACCCAATACCACCGCGTTGGCCGAATAATCATAATGAACAACAACAGCAGCAGCGTGGTTTTCACCTATTCTGGTGTGCTACATGTGCACTTGGCTTTCCACATCAGATTGCTTATCAAGATCATTTACGAAGTCATGTTCCAGTAAGATATATAGATATTTTTTTATGACTAAAACTTCATGATACATTTTATTAGTGTACCGTCCCCGGTTGTTCATATGCAGCAACGGAACAGCTCGTTCGAATTCATCATATGAATGTAAAAATGTATTAGCCTGTTGTGATTTATTATTAGGTTGTCTCTTTCTAGATTCATGAAAATAATGTACGTAATCGAATGAATAATAATAATAATAATGTTTTTCATCAAACACGTCCAATGTTGCAACCACTGGATCTTCCATGGCCATTAATGCGCATGTAAATGGTTCATGATGAATTTCATATGGTATTTTCATATATTCAATGTATTACTTATCATAATCACATCATTGTCTCTTGAAGATCTTTGAAATTTAGCATTTGTGATAGATACTTTCTTTACGTGGCTTTCGATTATAATGATATGAAAATAAAATGGTATGTCGTTGGTATAAAATCATGTGTCTTTTTCATTCTATCCGGTTGTTGTGGTTTAACTACTTTTTGTTCAATAAGAAATTATGTTCTTTCTATCTTGTTCATCTTCAACAGCATTGTATTTTAGCGTTATTAGAATGTTTTTGTTTCTCTTGTTTTTTTTCTTCTGTTTACGTTCTCTTTTTTGTTTTTCTCTTTTTTTTTCATGTTATATTTTGCTATAATCAAGTTGCTGACTGATTGTTTTCTTTAACTGTTCTCTCTAATTCGCGAGTAGAAAAACGAAAACGCTGAAGAGAAAAACAAACAAATCGTGCTGCGTTAAACGTCAATATGTATTGTATTTGTCTTGTTTAATGAGAATTCATCATCATGACAAATGATTATTCAGATTGATTATATGTTAGTTGTCTTTTGTTTATGATCAACACTTTTTTTTGATATTTAGATTCTTAAATAAGAAGTTTATCATTTTTTTTACAGTTCCATTAGGAATCATTACCCATGTTTACTATGAATAAATCATATGGACATAGGAATTAATAAAACTTCCCTTCGGTATTAGTTAGTTTCTCTTTTAACATTAGACAAATATTTTCCCTAATAAAGCTCTGTGAGTAATACGTTATAAATAAGCTTTATGTGAGTCTTGCTGTTTTATATATTAAGTAGGAGTAGAATGGGCAGGGCCCGCGCGACGGCCCAAAGATTGGGGGGGGGGGGGTGTATAAAAATTTCTCAGGGCGGTAGTACAAAATTTTGAAAA